AAGTATAGCGTGAATGTTAAATTGAGATCTTTTTAGAAGTGATAGTTTATCGCAGGTTTATTTAAGTAACTGTGTGAGAATCATACATTATGTAGTTCAGTTGTTGTGGATTGATGCTTGTTGTATCATTGCGTCATGTTACTACAACCTTCTAAGTTTTCTCGTTGTTTTATTTGAGTATTATTGCATCATAATATCTCGTAGTGTGTAGAAAATTCTAGGCCTCAGTTAGTTATATATAGTTAGCTAGACCAAGACTGCGTGACTTTGAGTTTCGCCATAAAGAGTGTATAGCGGTGATTTTTAAAGTGAAATTATCACATATTGTATTGTAATAACAGACTAAAAAGAAGAATCGGTCTTATTGAATTGTGTTCTAAAGTAACTGAACCAGCCTGTGTGGACGAAAAAAAAGACAATTATTTAAAGCTCTGGATACAACTGTAATAACCAACAGTATAACGAACATTTGTATATACGTTTGAATTATTTCAATATATTATTTTAAAACAAGTGAACTGTATGATGTTTGCTTACTGCCCTTCCTCCCCCTCCAGCAATTGCGGGGGCATATTTATGCCACTGTATACAGCACAAGAAGACAAGAAACAAGATAAGAAACAAAAAGAGAGACTACAGCAGTGTTTGGAGGAAAAAAGAAAGGAAACAAGAAGAACGAGAAAATAAACAAGAAGAGACACAACAGCAGTGGCAAGAAAACCTACAACAGTGGCAGCTCAAAGAGCAAAATAAACAAGAGAGATTACAGCACTTGTTGGAGGAAAAAAGAAAATAAACAAGAAGAACAAGAGAAGAAACAAGAAGAGAGACTACAGCAGTGTTTGGAGGAAAAAGAAAGGAAACAAGAAGAACGAGAAAATAAGCAAGAAGAGAGATTACAGCAGTGGCAACTGGAACAAGAAAGGAAACAGGAAGAAAGTCAGCAGCAACTACAGGAAAATCAACAACAATGGCAAAAGGTACAAAGACTACAGCAGTGGAAAGAAAATCAGCACCAGTGGGAACTGGAAAGTACAAATGGAAGAGTTTAATAAATTTCAAAATGAATTAAATACATTAAAGGATGATTTACTGTCTTTTACACAAAGAGGATATATTAGCCATGGACCTAATCAGCCTCAGACAACAGGAAGCCCCTTACAGACCCCGCAGCTAAGCCCTAAAGCAGACATCTTCAGTCCTGCCAGAAGTCGCAATTCCAGACATCAGTGTCAGCAATAGAGGTGATCTAGTATGAAGGAAGCCACAGGAATTCGATGGGACGAAGCCATGGGAAGCATATAGACACAATTTGAGCTACTGGCAGAAATGGATGGATGGACAGAGGAG